TTCGACCAACACACACACAGATCTCCCCCTTCTCGATCCTTCTCTCTTCTTCTCTGAGGCCCTCGATCCTTCTCTCTTCTTCTCTGAGGCCTGACCTCTCTTCTCCCCCTTCTCCATTCGACCCACACACACACAGATCTCCCCCTTCTCCCACTCTCTCGATCCTTCGCCCACTCTCTCGATCCTTCGCTGCCGTTGATCGTGGCTCTGGCGAAGTCGGACTTGGCTCAGTCGTCTCTGGTGGTGTGCCGCTGAGCAAGGAGTTGGCCCAGTCATCGATTTTTCAGGTGAGATTCCATTGAAACCCTAAGCCCTAAACCGACATCACATATGTTGAATCGTTGATGCATGCGTGAAATTGGAAGCTTATATGTGAAATTGAAGTTAAAAATCGTGTTTTTGCAAGGTTTTTGGGACGAAATCGGCTCGGGAATAGGCACACCATCTCCGGCGTTCGATATCGGAGTCCGATTGCACCGTTCAACAAAATATCTCGATATTTCCAAAATATCGCGATATTATCAATAATATCGCGATATTTTTACGAAAACCACACGGATACCTATTTAAATATCCATTCCCCGAAAAATCGATATTATCGGCGATATTTCGCCGATAATATCGATATTTAAATCCATGGTTCCAGCTAGGTTTTCTTACTTTTATTATTTTCTTTTATTTATTTATTAAAAGTTGAAAAGTTAACAGAGTTAACTTGAAGTTAAGTGTACTTTTTCAAAAAAAAAAAAAAAAAAACTTGAAGTTAAGTATGATGACATGTGTCAAAAAATGAAGAATGAGACATGAAGGAGACACTATTTTTGGGACAGCAAACCCGCAGCCAAATTGTCTCTGGGTTAATGGGGCTGACCCATATATATGTGTATTTTTTAGTTTTATATTTATAAATTCATTGAATCCAATAGTTAAGATCTAATATGACCAAATCCAATGATAAAAAATAAAAAAAATAAAATTCTTTTATGTGTTTCATATTCTTTCATAGGGTCACGAGTTTCATGGTGTCGATTTAGTGATTTTTAAATATTTATCAAAATTTAAATATGTTTAGGTTAAAATGTTTAGAAAATTAAATTAGGATAGTTTACATTATTATTTTTTTTAAGTTACTTTAAAAAAATATCATAAATTCATTCTTTAATAATTTCAGATTAAAAATTTAACCCATAAGGATTAGAGGAGAAAAATTGTTTCTTGGTTAAAAAATTTAGATTTTAACCAAAGGGTTGGAGATTGTCTAAGTGAGAGGAGGTGAGTTAAGCTTCATAATGGCTCTGATACCAATATTATAAACTCTACTTCTTTCTCAATTGCACAATAACTTGTATTACTGAGAACTATTACAACATCAACAACTCCTTTTAATCCCTCAGCTACCTATTCATACAACATATACTATTAATATGATGCCGACGCGTGACATCCTAGCAGCTAGTTATAATGTGATCAAAATTTTCCTTTGATGAACATCAAACCTAAGACTTCTAATTTACAAGTGAAAAAGAAACTACTAGACAATAGTATTGCACCTTATATTTTTATTTTAGCCAATTTATACGCCTAAATTTTCATAAATATCCAATTTTTTGCACGGCCTATTTTTTCGTTCATATTTATCATGTAATTAACATGTGAACCACTTAAAATGGTAAAAAACATAACTTTATAGCAACAGAGACGTTATTAGACAAGACGAAGGAGAATTAGGTTTGCAAAAGTGAGTTTTAGTGCGGCAACAAATCGTATTTACTTTAGACAAAAAGTGAATAGGGATCACGTGACAAACACCAATTAAATCTTAGGCATAATCTGATGTAAGCCCATTTTTGTAAAGCACATTAAAATTAAGTCCAATTTTGTTTTATTGTTCAAATAGATCCAATAACTAAAACTCCGCATCAGCTTAATTATTTTAATTTGCACCTTAGGCATATAAATTGTAGGAAGTACACATAATCCCTTCACTACAGGATTATTTGTGGTTGAACTAATTCATTATTTGTGACGCTTAGTACTACGATTTAATGGTATTCAACTTTACTTGTGATTGAGAGATTAAATTCGATTATTGCCAAAGATAAATTCGAACCAAATTATTATAGGTAACCCATTGTAAGGCTAAACAAACTCAACAACATAACTAATATGGCCTATGTTGCTTCAGTCTGTTTCATCCCTCTTTTTTTTTTTTTTCCTTTTTCTAAACTTTTCCCTCTCTTAGACCATGAAATCAAAATTATTTCTCAACTTCACCAATAAAAAAGAAAATTATTTCTCATCAAATCCTCCTCTTTATCTCTCTTCTTTCACGAATTGCAGGGTGATGAATCTTGTGTTCCTATCTCCAAATTCGTTCATCATGATTTCAATTGTTACATGTTTTTCACAATTTTATTTTGGGGTGTGATATCCACACACCCTATTTTGCTTCTTACATACCTTTTTAATTTTTGGCCGTCGGATCAGATGAATTAAAGAAGATCAACGGACAAAAATTATCAAGGGGCGTGTGAGAAGTAAAATGGGGTGTGTGGATAGCACACCCCTTTTATTTTTTTCTACCTGTTAATTCGGTAAGACAATATTCTTAACGCGGGTCTCCAGAATAACTTGGTCCTACTTTTGGCATGTCATCATTGTGATAGAAGACTCTTTAATTGGGACCTAAATTGTCGTTAGATGGAGGAGACCCTTTGGCACGTGATAGACCACCTCTTCCAAGTGATCAAATCTCTAATGGCCTACTCTTTAGTGATATGTGCTCAACGAAGACCACTAGACAAGAGTGCTCCACTGAGATCACTAAACCAGGGTGTTCTATACTAAGACCATCAGACAAGGGTGTTCTACTAAGACCACTAGACTAGGGTGCTCTACTGAGACCACTAGACTAGGGTGCTTTATTGTGACCACCATACTAGGGTGCTCTATTGAGACCACTAGACCGCCTCTCCAGAGCGCTTTATATATATACTACTATTGAATGAAGACTCGTTGACTAAGACTAGATATTTGTTGGTCTAAATATTTATTGGGTGTATTGGAAGAGGCCACATCACCTCTTCTTTGAGGCCACACACTTGACCTTCCTTAGGATGGTGGCTTTTTTTCTATATAAGGCCATCTCTAACAGAAAGCTGGCCAAATGGCTCGTTTTATCCCTTTGGTCTTCCAAGAAATTAATATTTTAATGAACAGTGCATTGTCATATTTCTTACCATCTCCAACCGAGGGCCATAGGGTCATAGGGCTTGTTTTAGCCCTGTCACAAAAAATCATCTCCAACCAAGGGCCAAAGGGCTATAGGGCCAAATATAATTTATTATTTAAATTTAAAAACTACAACAATTTACATTAAATGTAATATAATTAAATATTTAAAATAAATTGTGAAAACACTTACTTCGTCGTAGTAATTGGCACTGCTGTCTTGTCTACTTGCGGCTGTTAATAGTTGTATGTTAAATTAATTTTTTAATTTAAGTGTCCAATTACTAGTACAACTTAGTTTGAGATAGTTACATGTATAAATGCACATTTACCATCTCTAATAGGAAACTTATATTTGGGGCACCCATTATATTTGTCCCACATCGGGAGAGAATTGAACAAGCAAAAGCTTGCATGTGTGGTACCCATTATATTTGTCCCACATCAGTTGTGGGAGAAGTTTGAGCAATCAAACATGTTTATAAAAACAACATCCCCACATAGAATCAATCACCTTTTCGAGCCTTAATTAAATATTCTTTTTAAATTTTTGGCCCAAAAAAAAAAAACTGTATATAAAAAAAAATTTCAAAAATAACGGCTAGCTGACGTCATTGAGATTCAAACTTTTTAGCTCGGCTCGGGATCGGCTGGCTGGCTCATTTGGGCCACCCGATCGGCCCTTTGGCCTTTTTTGTCCAATGGGGTTCACGAGCCATTTGGCTTGGCCCTCGGTTGGAGACGATTTTAGGGCCATTTTCGACCCTCTGGCTCTTTAGATCCTTCGGTTGGAGATGACTTAATGAAAAGGAGGACGGAGGAGAGAGGATGACTAGCTAGATGATAAAAGCCTACTGTTCTTTGGCTACAATGCCAACTAGAAGCTTTGAGCGGTTTCATGTAGCATTTGTAACCTCACACAAATATATATACAGATGACAGTGGACATAGCCCTTTAAGCTAACCTCTCAATTTTAAGCGTTAACAAGCATCGATTGCAAACATCATCATGCATTTAGTGGATTTTTTTAGGTCGACAGGCCGAGGGCCCACTCCAACAACACCAATATTGTCCTCACTTAACCACCTGCACAATCCTTAGGTGTGGGGTTTTATCACAAAAGGCCTCAGTGTTAGTTAGATAGGGGTATTTTTATTTAAATAGCTCTTCTCTTCTCCCTTTGTCCAATGTGGGACAAATGAGGGTTCCAACACTCCCGCACGTGAGACCCCATTTTATAGGTCACACGCGGAAATCTACATCGGCAATCACGTGGAGCCAATGGGGGCTCACCCATCGTGTGGGGCCAAACGGGGACCCACCCAATCACGTGGCTTCTTTGGCCTACGTGGACATCGCGTAGGGCCAAAGGGGACCCACCCAATCACGTGGAAGTATGGGCATGTCCCCTGGCTCTAATACCAAGTGGAATTTTTCAGGTCGACGGGCCGAGAGCCCATTCCAACAACACCGATAATGTCCCCACTTAACTACCTGCACAATCCTCAGGTGTGGGGTTTTATCACAAAATGCCTTGGTGTTAGTTAAAGAGGCATATTTCTATTTAAACTGCTATTCTCTTCCCCCTCGGTCCGATGTGGGACAAATGAGGTTCCAACTCATTTGCTCTATATACGTATCATAAAGGTAAAAACAAAATTGGCAAGGTGGTACAAGTTCCCTTTGTAATTGTCTATTTGATGCATCTACTTCACATAACAACCCAAGTTATGGGTTGCCAAAACCAGAAAGAAAGAGTTTAGAGGTTGCAAAGTTCTGCTTCTTATTTCAATTGGTTAGCCGTGCTTACAACATTTGATACGACCAGTGCGGAAAAAAGTTAAAAATCTCAACATTTCAGAAGGGTTATCTGTTTACATCAAGGGGCATGCCTTGTGGCGTTGGACCAGATTCTGGATCTTGGTCAACTGCTTGTGTCTGCTTGATCACCATTTCCTTTTTATCGTTGCTTTTACCCCACAGTAAAATGTACATGCCAATTATGACAGTAACAGATCCCACCATGCTGATCAATTAAATAAGGCCAAAAATTAATTAGTAACGGGTTAATACGAAGATAATTAAAATTAATGATGTATGTAAACATTCAACATTAAACATAATTGAGTGAATTACCTTCCGAGGTAAATTTGTTCATGCAAGAAAGAGAAGTCCAACATGGCCACAAATATCTGGGTGACGGGGGTAAATGCTGCTGTGAAGAGTGCACCCTTTTGTTTCACACACCTTGACATCCCTACATAGCATAACCCTGATCCTACTGCTCCCTGCAATGTCAACACACATGAAACCCTAATCAGTTCTTGAAATAATATTCTAGACTGTAGCATTTGTATGGATTACAAAATGAAATCGAAATTACCGAACACATCCACTAGCTGTTAAACAACCACTAGACCTAAAGCTTATGTTGTATGGAAATATTGACCTATAACAATATTGTATATCAAGGTTACACCCTTCTCGCGTGCATGTTCATCTTGTACGTGGAGAGATGAACTAGTAGGCGAGAAAGAAACATATAGGTGCAGCCATGACACCATGTTAGACAACCAGTAAACCCTAAAAACTTAATTTGTTAGAGAATGAGCACCAACAATATGTATGAAAATACTAAACCCTAAAAGCTGCTTGAGTTGTCTCGGAGGGAGATACTATTTTAGGCAACCATTATAGCCTAACGCTCAAGCTTACATTAGCTAGGAAAGATTTGAACGGTGAATATTGGAGAGATGCGAAAGAAAATACTCACAGCATATACGACACTCAAGATCTCCAACTTCCCCTTGAGAATCCACATTGACATGATGATGTGCCTCTGGGTTATGAAGCACAAGATGGCGGATTGAATGGCGCCGAAGAAGGACAATATCGCGGTGCTAGAGTACTGAAAAGGGTAGCTCTTGCCGATCTTTGCTTGGATGAGAAACCACGAAGACCACAAGAGGCAGCCTGATGCCAAAAACGCTGAACCAGCCCACCTCTCAGTCATTTTAGCTGTTGATGAAGCCATTGTATTGGCATGGTTTTGCATTTGATGTGTGGATTCTGAATGTTGGTTGGTTAGTGGCATTCCTTTGTATAAGATCAATGATACAGCTCCACCAATACATATGAAGGCACCCAGGATTTTAGCTATCCCATCCTTTCTCTTTATGTTCACTTTCTCTAGACTGCAAAATCAAGTCCGAAAAATTGAAGTTATAATTCCATTAACAACATGTTTACCTACTTAGAATGCGAGAAATTGTGAATGGGGAAGTCGGGCACATGAAATAGAGGGAATGAGTATATTTTATCACATACTTTTTTATTACGTCTGTATTAGTAAACATAGAGGAAGTCAGGATTCCAAATTATATATTCCAATACCCATTTCAGATAATTAATCAGACTTAAAAACTTATTCTTTGTACTTTACCCAAATGGTAGAGCCAATAGGAAAGTGTAGACAGGCACCATGTTGACGAATGCACAGGAATATGTAGCAGAGGTGTATTGAAGTCCAAGAAGAAATAAGTATTGTGTGAAAGTTACCCTGAAAGACACAAGTATTTGCCACAAAATTTCACAAAAAGATAACAACTCAAATGAAAAAACATACAAATATAAAATTTGAGAAACCGTATCAATTGTAAATACTATTACTAACCCAATAAGAGCACTGATGAAAAGGAGGCATAATATTCGAGTTGTAAGCTCCGGTCTGCTTTTGCTGCAAGAAAACTAACTATACGTTTAGTATACTAGTGGCGCAAATAAAACTACATATACCATATTTACTGATCATATTTTTTATAGAGATAAGATTGACTCGATCGTCAGTGTTCTCTACGTGGAAGATATCTAATATGATACATGTAGCATTAAACATAAGTAATAACTCAAGTAAATATAGGTTTTACCTTTCCCAAAAGAAGGCAATGGGTGTCAAGAAAACAGCAGAAACCGACTGTCGATAAGTAACAATTACCAAACCGTTTAATCCTCCATCAAGAGTCTTCTTAAGAAGAACATTTACAATAGCTAATGCAAGGTTAATGACCAGCATGACAATAACAAGCTTCCATTTTCCCCAGCAATTCATCTTAACAATATATAAGTATACTGTGATTCAAAGCATAATGTTGTAAGTTATTAGACTCGTTATATGCTTATATATACTTATAGGTGAACCAACCAGCTGCTTCCCTACATATGAGGATATCAATGGTTAAAATTCTTGGCATCATTTCAACAGATTGATGCAATCAACATGCAATTCTTTATAATATTTTCATCCCTTTTAGATGTCTTTTTACTGCAACATTTTTTATTAAGTTAAGCAAAGAATCAATTACTATATGTGGCCTCAGATAAAATATATTTCAATTTTTTTTTTTTATGTTACTTCATTGTAACTAATTAAGAGTATTCTTCTTGAACACTGTTTTACTTCTTGACATTATTTTACAATTCAAATATCATAATAGAAATTGTTTATTCTCTTTATTATCATCTAAAGATCATCGATGACAAAATTCATTTAGTTTGAAATCCGTTCAGTAATCCGTAGGAATCAAACAAATTGACGTTTTATCATGAAAAGTTACTTAATAACATAATCGTCAATTTGTTCATCTCATATAGATGGCTAAAGTACTCCAAATTGAATGAATTTTTCTACAAATGATAATAAAGACAATGACAGTTCAAATTGTACAATAAAATTATGTCACAATATCGTTGAAGGAAGAACATTACTCCTTACATATAAGAAGCAAAGCATTTTGACTATTATTCTTGCCATCTAGTTTTTTCTTTTCTTTTGAATAATTCATTGCAAATTAATCTGGAAGAAACAATACTGCATCAATGAGCATCTTCTCAAAAACTACTAGTGGTTGATATGATGGCACACTATCATTTCTTCAAAGTAGTATCTAATACTTCCATGTAAGAATGCAATATTGCATTATTTGGATGACAAAGTATTGTTCATTGCTATTGCATTGTTTTGAAGAACAATATGTCACATCTTAAAAAAAAGATATAACCCAAATATAAAGCTAATGGTTATTGCTAGCTGGGTAATTGACACGCCAATTATTTTGTTATTTAACTCAAAAAAGAATGTTGCTGATGTATGTTTAGGCGCGTCATATAGCCAAACACATGCTGAAAATGGTAATATACTTTATATTATATATTTATATAATGTATGAGAATGAGAACTTTAATGAAAAGCTCCTGGTACTGTTCACTTTAATGAAAAATTATATTTTTACACTAAAAAGTTAATCCTGGTACCGTTCACTGTACCATTTATTTTGTCATTGTCGTTAAAATTCAAAGTTTTCAAGCCATGTTCATTAGTTTTCCTTAGTAATATTCCAGAGTCCATTTGATATCTGTGTGAAAGCATATGTCTATGCAATGCACATAGAGGCCTTTCTTTACATCACATTTTAAAAGTTTTTTTTTTTTTTGATAGTTAACCCTAATGATCTGAATTTTTATCAAGTACAAAGTTATTATTGTAGAGATATAAATTAACCACATCCAATAGGATAAAGACACTGGACAATATGCTCAATATGACTATCTTACCTTTGACGTCGTGAGTAGACCACAAATCACCTCAAGGGAATAAGACATAGTCTGCCCTAGGGTAATGAGCCTTTATGCCACTAAAAAACCATGGACTCTCAGAGCTATCCATCGTACAAGTCAAGTCATGGGTTCTCCAGGCCATCAATACATATATTATGAGATCTCCGGCCCGTCCATAATTATTGTCAAATTGATTTTCGACAAAATAAAAAAGACATAAAAGGTAGAACTGTAACTATAGAATACAACCCTAATCGAAATGCATACATTTGTCTCATACACTATGAGGATGGTGAGAAAAGATATATTTTATTTTAGGTTTTGCCATTGGGTCATACCTGGCCCACTGGTGGCAGGACACCGATTCTCCGAAGTCTCCCTTTAGGTGTTTGACGCGACTATGCTATTACCAACAGGGACCTTTAAGATTGCGGAGACTGGCCTGCATCATCAAGGACTGCCTAATATGCTCTACAGCCCCCCATTCCTAATTGCTAAGGTTTAGTCTCTGTAAATAGCCAGGTCAAAGAAAAGAAAATGTAATCGCCACTTACGACTCATAACTCTCTCAAGTTCTCTTTTTTATCTCCACTCCTTAGGCATCAAAGGCATGTGGCAGACACATTTCCTTATTTAGAATAGAGAAAATCACGAATCGAGAAAGTCGAAAATAGGAAAAAGACAAAAGGGCTAACTAGTGTTACTGAATATCTAGGTTTATTTTTTAAGAGGGTGATGTTATCCACACGCTCATTTTTACTTCCTACACATATTCCTTGTTAACCTCTATCCATTAGTCATATTCAATTCATTCAATTCGATGGCTGCAAATTGAGAAAGGTGTATGAGATTTATAGATTAAAAAAATGTGTGTGGATAGCACCACCCTTTCAAGAAACCATAATAGTTTTGATACCTACGTGTAACCTATAGGAAGTCAGGACTCTTAACAATTGTTTTTTTTGGTCAAACAAGATTACTTCCATTAAAAACTAGAACAAGGCCCAAAAAGAGCCAACAAAACAAAAATAGATAATGTAAAAGGCCTAAGCAAAAGAGGAGCAATAACCCATGATACAATGGGAGTCCTTCACAAGCTTAGGCCCGAAGGCAGTAAAAACAAACAACAAAAAAACCCTAACCTAAAGCAGCTTAGGCGATCACATCCTTGGAGGAAGACATACTCAAAACCGAGAAAGTAGACATCGAATTTAAGTCCCCTTCACATACCCTTGCAAATATATACAAACAAAGTACCTTATGGATATAAAAGAGGCTACGGGGCTGTAGACATCAAAATTTTGGTGAAACAAATGTTCACCAATGCATTAAAGTTTCGACGTGCTAGGGCATACGTGGCATGCACATGTCGCACAAATTGTACATGTGGCATGTGACTCAACAAAATCGGACGAGTCATCAAGAAGGACACGTGTCAACACTTGGCATAAAGGAATTATTTGATTGTAATTAAATTAAATCAAATATTAATTGATTGAGACAAATCATGGACTGGGGCCCACAAATCGATTATTGGTTTTTTCGTTAATCAAGCCCACAATAGAGCTCAAATCCATCAATGAGCAAGGCTTGGAGAGTCTATAAATAGGAGGTTCCAAGACAAAGAAAAGGGTCCAGAAATCATTTCATGTCCAAACGCTTAAGCTTTGAAATTTTGAAACTCTAAAGCACTCAAACCCCATAAACACTCAAACACTCAAGAAGACTTGGAAAATCCTTTGTGTTCTTCGTCAAATCCCGTGAAGAACCACCAAGCACCCCTACATATGCCGGTTCCTTCATTGCCAAAAGCCAAAACCTTGTGGCATTCGTTTATCTAAGATCAAGTCATCGGGACCCTTGGATCAACAACACTGCACATCTACACATTTCTGAGGCGAATCAGAGGATCAAGTTGTAAAGAGATTGTAACCCTACAAATTCATTAATAAAAACAATTATTTTTCTTGTCTCATTTACCGTAGGAAAATCATGTTTGCAAATTTGGCACGCCCGGTGGGACCATCTCTACCTCTCATCTCTTTCTCCATTTAGAAGTCAAGTCATCCAAGCACACTCAAAATTCAATGGCATTAAAGAAGGGACAAACAGTTCTTGCAACCAAGAGAATAACCATGAGCACTTATGCTGCATGTGGAGAATCCGTTAGCATCACAACTCAGAGCAAGGCAAAGATGGTTGCCACTCTTCAACATGCCACTTCAAAGTTGGTGCTGTTGAGGAAGTAAGGGGAACGTTAGAGGCGCGAGATCGTCATCAGCCTGACCTCGTTAGGCACACTGAAGCATGCTGCTATGGCACACACGAGGACACCTTAGAATGGCGAGCAAGGTTCGTTCATGTCAAAAGGTTCACGAGAGCACTCATTGTCACTAGCTTCGAACTCAGACTTAAGTGTGAAAGCTTATTGCAGATCACCAACCAGCAACCGCTGCACAGAGACTTTGTTAGCACCCTCGATGTTTGGAGGAGAGTCGCATCCTTTGGTTGCGTTAGTCATGACCACTAACGCCATCTCCATTGAGGATCAACTTGCATAAATGAATGAGGCGATCATGAAGTTGACAAAGATCGTTGAGAAGAAAGACGTGTAGATTGCTACGCTTATGAGATGGTTGGAATCGCAGCATGATGGAGAAGTCGACCCTGACCTAAAGAAGAATCACCATGACGAAGAGTATGGCGAGGAAGAAGTGCATCATATTGACAAAGTTGAAGGGAAACAAAAGCCATAGTCCGAAGCTACATCAATGGGCTCTTTTTCCATCTAAGAACTTTGTTGGTACCATATTATATTGGGCCTCGTTACTTGGGCTTCTAGACATTGAGCCCATGATTTATGTAAAAGGGGAGGAGCCCTTAGTCTATAAAAGGGACTCCTTACCCTCATAATCCTGAGGCCTCACATCCCTAAATAGAGGCTCTCATATTCAGAGCAACCCTCTCACAAACAGAGAAACTCTCTCAAACTCTCTCTTTCTCTAGAGGACTCCCCCTCACACTTGTAATCCATACATTCATATAGAAAAATACAATCAACATCAGTGTGGATGTAGCTTAAACATTGGGGTGAACCACGATACATCTTATGTTCTTTACTTTCTTGCAGATTCATGGTCGGATTTACGTTGTTCCAAGATCCCTTCGGTTTTGTGCATCAACATTTGGCGCCGTCTGTGGGAATCGACATAAAAAGCTATGTCGGTTATCTCTCAAATTTTCATCTCACCATCGTGAAACCTTCACAACCTCACCACTGTCCACCGTGGATATGCAAAACCCAAGAGACACCCAACTCTCTCTCCATCTGTCTCAGTAATGGAAAATATCGAGCACAAACATGTGGAAGTAAGAGGACTCAAGCTTCACGTAGCTGAAATCGGAAGCGATCCAAAGGTTGTGGTTTTCCTTCATGGATTTCCAAATATGGTACACATGGAGGCATCAACTAGTTGCTTTGGCAAACAAAGGCTATCGGGAAATAGCCATTCATTTCATGGGCTATGGACTGGCTGATCCTGAAAATGACACCCTCATTGATCTTGTCCACGATGTCGTAGCCCTTTTGGATGCTTTGGCCATTAACAAGGCTTTTCTTATTGGGAAAGATTTTGGAGCACTACTTGCATACTTAGTAACTGCTATCCACCCGGAGCGTATATCTGGTGTCGTTACACTAGGTATTCCTTTCACGCTACCAAGTCCCTTTGTTGTCTAAAATCATCTCCTTTTTGAAGGATTCTACATATCAAGGTGGCAGAAACCTAAGAACCAAACAGGAAAGCAGGAAAGTAGGAAAGTACGCCGAACGTGTCGGTACTGGAGCTTTAGTCCACCTCTCCGTTGTCCTT